TATTTGGGGTCATAAGTTTTTGCCATGGATATTTTGTGGGTCAGAAGATAAAAAGTTTGGGAACCACTGGTCTAGATAGCTTCAAAGATAATAGAGATAATGCTTTTAAATCACATTCATACACTGATGCGACACAAAAAGGCAGCGGGGTAATGTCTTGCCCAAGAACATTTCAACATGCGACTGAATAGTAGTGGACTTGAACCACCAATTCTTGTATTTGAAGACAACTCCACTCTGCCACAGCCGGCCCTTTTATTTCCCCAGTCATTGTGAGATAATTATAATACAGAGAACTACTATTAAAACAAAAGTTTTATTTAGATATGTGTCCACTACAGTGAACATCAGAACACCATTAAACTGTAATTATTTCTATCAGTAACGTGTTTCCTTTGTCTCTTACAGAGGAAAATACACCTGGACCAGTCCTCATCAGGTTTTCAGGTAAGTCAAATGAGAGTGAGGGTTAATAGGCAGACTCAGGAGGCAGAGAATACAAAAAGTAAACTTTATTTACAGTGAGAGATGGACCAGGACCAGGAGTCCAGGGCTGAAAAGGAAGGAGACTGCCGAGTATCAGTAGGAGCAGACTGTTCAGGTAAATTGGTTTTCTTACAGTGTCCTGAGAACGAGGACACTCTGAGGGAAGGGCACGGATCCACAAAGGTAAGTGAGGCTTTGTTTTCCATCAGAGGTGGTGACAGACAGGAGGACTGAGCAGGTAAGCATTCACCATTAGCAAGAGGCAGACAGGCAGGTGAGTAACATCCACAGGTGAGTATTTCCACAGGCAGCACAGGATCTTCAGGTAAATGCAGGGTATTTGGTTTGTGTCAAGTTGTGATGTTCACTGCATTTAGTTAGAGGTGCAATGATTTAATTTGACCACTGTGAGGCGCTAGTCCACTTTTTATACATGAAGGTATATATAACGGTTTTTATTTAAGTGTATGTTTTTATAAGAGTTCCTCGACGCTGGTTCAGTGTGAGAAGAAAGTGATTGAGAAGCAGTAATACTAATGTCAGATGTTCATTTCTGCTGTTGAATGAACAGAGATGACATCTGACTCCATTCAACATCATTCCTTTGAGTTCAGCGCTGTTGATGCTGCTGCTCAACAGATTATTTGGTATGAAATCTCAAGAAACAAGTCCCCTTCATGAAAACACAAAGGAACACCTTGAACTTTGTGCACATCTCTGATGCTCCTCTTCTTTTCTTGTTGAAGTGTTTATCCCCTATGATCTTACACTCCTTTGGAACCCTGGTCAGAGGGTCCGGTGGTGCCAGCGCATGGCAGCCCCGCCTCTATCAGTGTGCACCAGGGCAGCTGTGGCTACAATGTAGCTTACCACCATCAGTTTGAATGTGTGTGTGAATAGGTGAATGTTTATAAGTGTAAAGTGTGTCCGGAGGGACTTAATGTACAGTATAAAATACAAGTTCAAACCATTTATCTCGTGGTTCATGAGGGGTCCAGCCCTGATCAGCCCTTGTGTCATCGTGGTGTTGATTGGTTGTTGTAAAGAACCTGTCAAAGAACAGGTCTCGGGAACGGTTAGGGAACAGGCTCTGCCAAATGAAGAACAGTTTGTTCTCTGATGTCCTTCCCTCCTGCAACTATGAGGTCTAGTCTTGTCTTGGCAGACCACAAAGTCTGAGATCAGCCCAGGTGGTGCAGTCAAGACAAACCCCTTCATTCCAGTTGGGTATGGTTTGCCTGGTGTGTACTGGGTCACTGGACCATTTGCTCTTCAGTGCAGTGTTCCTTGTAGGCAGGCTCAGACATCCTCTCCTTACTTTGGTCATGAGGGGCCAGATTCCCACCAGAGAAGCTAGGTGAGCTAAACTTGTATATTTTTCACGAACAGAATAATTTAAATGTAATGATGATGTAAAATGTTCAAATCTAAAAATAACTATATGTGGTCTGACAGCTGCTGGGATCTGAGATGAAACATGAAACAGCTTCAGCACCACAAACACTGGAACAAAATCCTTTAGTTAGACTGGTACTATTACTACAAATTACAGATGTTCAACCTGTCAGCTGTCTGAATCAATGCAGACACCACCTGGTGTCATGAAGTCAGTTGATCCTCCCTGATGAGCTGTCAAACTAACTCAACCCTGACACAACACATGAATAGATTCTGAAAGTTTGGTCAAACGCATCTGATCTCTCTGAGACTCAAACCACAGACACCCCAACCTCTTCACTGCAGGGTGGGGGTAACAGAAACTATAAACCAGGACTATAAATACAGGACATTTGTTTGTCATATGGAGCCTATTTTATAAATCCATTCTCTGATTATCTGATTTACTCACTGTTAGTATTTATAGAGGAAAATCTGTCACTATTTTACTTTTTAAAACTTGTCCTGTACTTTTCTACAAGAAGAAATTTTTACTGTCTTTCGCCATTTTTTTATTTCAAAGTAACAAAGGGTGGTGTGTACTCACCCTCCCATGGGTGATTGACTTGGAAATAGTCTGGGCCGTTTTAAATCCTGCCTTTCTCTCCCATATTCCCCACACCCAAACCTTTGATAAATCAGAGCCTAAATGTTTTGTTCTAAGGTCGATTCAGAAGTCCAGCTTTCTTTTCTGCAGCTTTGCTCTTACTTGGTGCTGCTGGACAGGAAAAATGGACCTTGACCTGGCTGCCCCCTCATATGCCAAGTGTCTTTAAGATGTTGTGTGAAGTCCACAAATGCAGAGACACTGTCTGATCACTGTGTTTTCAGCAAAGTCTAATTGATCCTTCCATTCAGATCCAGTTGATCCACAAACACAGAGATATACACTGCCTGGCCAAAAAATAGTCACCACCAAAAAACGGTCATATTTGGTTGGACCTTTAGCTTTGACGATGTCACATTCTCTGCGTTATTGTTTTGATAATCGTCAACAAAGTCATCAAATTTTCTTCATCCAGTGTTGCATTAATGTTTCATCAAGATCTTTCATTGATGATGGTAGAGTCTGACCTTCTCCAGCACATCCTAAAGATTCTCACTGGACTCTGTGGAGCCAATCCATGTGTGAAAATGATGTCTCATGCTCCCTGAACCACTCTTTCACAATAAGAGCCCCATGAATCCTGGCATTGTCATCTTGGAAGATGGCTGTGCCACCAGGGAAGAACCAATCATTGATGGAATAACCTGGTCCTTCAGTATATTCCGGTGGTCAGCTGACCTCATTCTTTGAGCTGAACCTAGAACTGACCAACTGCAGCAACCCCACATCATAGACCTTAAGTAACAAAGTTGGACCACCCAGTTCTGTACTTGTTCTCAGTGTCACAGCTTTGTAGTTGGTTATTTTTAATATTAACACCGTAACAATACTAACCAACCAACCAACCAACCAACCAACCAACCACCATGCTGTACAATAAAACAAGACTTAGAGGACACAAGATAAAACACATCTCTATAATTTATCCTGTGTGCAACACGGAACAAATCAAAGCCACCAGCACATCTTCCAAGGTTGATAGAAATAGCAACGTATGAATGAACACGAATTTAAGATTTTTAAGGCTTCAAGATGGTTACAATGAAATTTTTTATGACCTTTGATAACCCTGATTTGTTAACCCTGTGAGAGGCAAAGCTCTCTATTGGTTCGTCTACTTTTCAACCCTCACCTCTGGTCAGCAGGTCACGATGGAGTGAGACAGAACCAGATCCTGGATCCTAGCAGCTGTAGTTAGTGTCTTCTGTAGGGTGGCCAAGGTCAGCGCAGAGAGCAGATTCAAGCATCCAATCAGGAGCCCTCCTAGAATCCTGCATCTGGAGGTTTCTGGGTATGTCCCTGTCTGAGAACTCCTTTGATGGTACGGTGGTACAAATACCACAACGTTTATGAGCCTGTGTATCCTTCTACTTATTTAAATGTGTGTGTGCATGTATATGTTTTTGTAAGTTTTTTTGTCTGGTCTGGGGTCACCTTGGGAGCCCTGAGGAGCTGCAGGGTCCAGTCTCCATCTGGGCCTGGATTAGACTGAGAACAGATTCCTCCTGAAGGAATGAAGGTAGAATCAAGAACCTGAAGCCATAGCTCAGTCCACTGAGCCTCAGCTGTGATGTCGTCACACAGCACACTAACACACGTCAACAAAATGCCATCTTTTTGTTAACATCAAGGTGTCTGACAGGTGTCCTCCTGGATCTGAGCTGAGACGCTGGTCTCCTTCGTCTCTGCAGCCTCGGAGCTGGAAGTCAGCGCCAACACCCTCTGGGCGAGTCTACTCAGGACCAGATCAGCAGTGCAAGTCAGACTGTGCTGAGAAGACAAAAAGACAGAGACATCATGTAAGAACAGATCAGACAGAAGATATGAGACAACAGATGTGTGAAGGCAAAGATCAAACTGTCCAGAGTTGGTCGCTTTTAAAAGCAAGAATAAGATTTATTTACATGGCAGGACAGAAATAAAGAAAAACCTTTCTTGCTACAATAAAAACAACTTTTTATGAATGAAATAAAACAACGAACAAATACAGAATGGTGGCATTTCTGTTTGCAGCCAGTAGAGGATAGCAGATTCCTGACCTAAGCTCTTATGTCACAGGAAGACTGAGATGTCACGGTTTATCAAGATCCATCTAGTTTCAGGGTTGTACAGTCCTGGGGTCAGATTTATAAAGGATTGCGTGGAAACCATACTAAAAATGAATATACGTTCAAAAGACGAAAATGGCGTACGCCAAAAAAAATCTGATTAATAAAACCGTGCGTACGCACGTTTCACCGCATTTTCCCTTTATAGATCACAGCTGTGCCTCATAATTTGCGCACGAGGTCCCGCCTCAGGTTCTACCCTCTACACGCCCACATTCAACCATAAACAGTCAATGTAAAGTACCTCATGAATGTTAAGATGTATTTAAATCAGTCAGCTGATCAATGATTGGCTCAGACACGCTCCATGGTGCTTCTGGAGGATGACAGGTGCTGACAACTGCTCACATGAAAAGAATGTCTGTAATTTACACAGATTTTCCCTCATTTTGCAGGTTTACAGATGTTTAGAGTAATCTAACGATTTATTTCAAAAACTCAGCTTCAAATTAATTTTCTGTCCGAGGACGATAAATAAAATAAGTCAGACAAAGTTAAGTTCACCGCTCTTCTCCCCCGTCCTCCCACTCTCTGCTCTGTTATCTGCGGCAGACAAATACGACAAATACGGTTTTTAAAAAGTGAAGTTTTATAACATCCACACTGGCGAGGGTGGAAGCGCCCTGCTAGTACCCAAAGCATGACTTTTGCTGTCGTTCAGTTGAAATTTCTCTTGTCTTAGAGGGGTCTGTGGGTCGGGGTCATCTGAGGAGGAAGCAGATGAATGGATGCGTTAACGTTTATTTAAGATTTAAGTTTTTTATTCCAAAGATCTTCTGGCTCAGCAGCAGAAGCATAAATATTACTGTTAAGAAAGCTGATGATAAAGTTGAATAAAAAATCTAAGTCTGATGAAGGTAAATTAAATATCTGACAGTGATCATTCCACAGTGTGGCTCTAATTCCTCACTTCACCGTCTGTGTCGCAGTTTCACGTCTCCAAAATGAGCGTACGCATGGGTCAGAGCTGGCTGAGGCACCGCACATTTTCACGTCAAGTTTGGATTTTATAAATCACAACCTTGGCCTGAAAAGTGGCGTACGCAAGTTTCTGGGCTCATATTGTGCGTACGCCAGTTTTATAAATCTGACCCCTGGTCCTCGAGAGCCACTGCCCTGCATGTTTTACTTGTTTCTCTGCTCCAACACACCTGATTTGAATGAATGGGTGATTATCAGGCTTCTGTAGGACTTGGAAGAGGTAATTTAATGACTGAATCAGGTGTGTTGGAACAGGGTTCTTGTAAGACATGTGGATGCAGTGGTACACCTGTAAGAAGTGTAGATTCAGTGCCACCCGTTAGACGTGATGATGCAGTGACACATATACAGGGGCCTCATGTATCAACGGTGCGTACGCACAAAAACCTTGCGTGCGTCATTTTCCACACAAAACTCTGGATGTATCGAAACTGAACTGAACGTGGAAATGTGCGCAGCCCCACGCCAACTCCAGGGCTGGTGTCACACGTTTCTGTGGTTCTGGTTCCATTGGCGACACTTAGAGGTGATTCTGAGAAACTGTTCATGATGTGAAAATGATTATTGTTCACACCAGACACACATGATTAACAATTATTACATTCACAAGGACGCACAAAGTTGTGCCAAAAATACATTTAACAGGAACAGATTCAGCCTTACTGGAGGATATAATAAATAGTGTAACACACAGAGCTTTTATTTATAAACAGATAGAATTTTCTGATGACGAGTGGCTCATCAGCCGTTTTGAGGAAAAATCTTTTTAGTTTGGCACTGCTGCGCTCTGGGAGCGCGACGCAACGAGTAGCCACATGCGTCACGCGTGCACGTGCAGCAGCAGCGATTGAACTGGGGTTCCACAGGAGCTTTCCAGAGGGAGCTGGCAGACCCATCGGACTATATCAGTCCACCCAAAGCAGAGTCATGACCAATGGAATCGTCTCATCCATCTGATTCTAAATGCTGAGTTATGGTCACGCTCTGGAGCGCGCACCCTCGCACACCTTTGCGTTTATGTTGTTGTAGATTTCTCAAAATGACACGTGGAAGTACACTTTACAACTTGTGAAAATGCTGTAAGHASRAGAGCAAAAGCTTGACAGACAAACAGACTGCACACAAAGGCTGCGGCGCAGCGTTTGTGGGGATTCTCCAACATCACGTCACTTCATGTGAACTCTACTGAGGCGCAGAGACTCGTTTCTTCATATCAGCTATGAAATAAACTAAGATCTATGTTCTACCAAACATTTTAGCTCCTCTGTGTTTACAGTAATTGTGGTAATAAACTCGTGCGCAAAGTTAATATTTTCAGACTCGGAATGGATGGATGAGCCGGTTGCGCAACACAGCAGCGTGCGCACACACACACACACACACAC